TGCAGGTCAGGACCCCAGAGATGGTTGCCGAGTACAAGAGTGCCACTACTGAGTTTCCAGCTTATAACATGGCACAGAGGATCAGGCACAGCACACCATAGGCACCTACTCGGCCCAGTCATTATCTAGATGTTCCAGAGTCAGCAGCTCAGCAGGACGAGATTATCAGAGGCATAGCCCCTACTGAGGAGGAGCAGCTTGAGGCACAGCAGGAGATGACCGAGTCCAGTGATAGTTTGGATGATGACTATCAGCCGATTCCTCAAATGCCTCCACGCAGACATGATGCAGAGGCCGGCAGTTCCAGCTCAGCCCCACCTGCACCGTAGATAGACCCCGCCTTGATTGCTATTCTTGAGCGGATGCAGCAGGATCAGGCACGACAGGCACAGGAGACCGCTGCCAGCTTTGCACAGTTTTAGGCTCATTAGGACAAGTTCCAACGCCAGCAGCAGGTTCTCCAGCAGCAGCAGCAGCAGCAGATGCATCAGCAACAGTTACTTATGCAGCAGCAGCTCATGTTATTAATGCAGCATGTAGTGACAGCTCTTGGGGCTCCACAGCCACAGCCTTCGCCCTAGCTTGCTCAGCCTGCCACCACTACGACGACTCTAGCTGTACAGCCCAGTGGGCTCTAGAGTCAGGGACAGCCTCCAGCTCAGTTTGCTTCACCTCTAGTACAGGAGTCCCAGTGGTTAGCATCACCAGTGGTGGCCCCGCAGTTCACTCCACTTCAAACGGGCTTCACACCGGATCAGTCATCCTCGCTTTTCATGCCTGACACGTCAGTCTCTAGGAGTCTTGGAGCATCTTTCAGCGAGTTGACAGGCATGCCTACACCGCCACATATGCATGCTGCCGGTCCTTCTACAGCAGCTCCTATCGCCGTGACTACTCAGAGGCTCCCTTCTTCTATTGCATCATCAGATCCTACGACAGATATTCCTGCAGCATCACAGGCAGCACCTGCCCCAGATCAGACCTAGACCGCTTCAGCGACACTTCCTGCCACAGAGGGTCAGTCAGTACAGAGCTCAGGGTTAGATGATGATGGCGCCCAGTTCCTTCTCGCCCCTCGTACCTCAGCGCCTGACTCATCCGCTGCAGCCCCGCCGTCCAGCCCTTAGGTTTTGGTGTTTGACGCCAAAGGGGGAGAGGGTTCGAGTATGTAGACTCAGGGGGAGCGACATTTAGGGGGAGCTAGTTATCTAGTATTAGCTTATTATATACATTTGGAGTTTTATTTGTGTGATACACTATTACTATTATGCATTCGTGTGTTACTTTCATGCATATTATTATATCTATATGATGGTGATATCTACGTAATTGTGATATATGACATTTGTGCTCTCTACTTTACATTATTTATATGTCATATCACTTGTGCTATGTTCATTTGCCTTTGCTTCCGTGTTTATACTCCGATGCAAATGAGCTTTGTTACTAGTACTCATGCTTAATTCATATCCTTTGAGTACATTGTGTTGCCTTGGGTCATATAAGCTTGACTAATACTTTTGTTCTTATCGACAAAAGCTTATATGAACCAAGTCCGTCAAAAACCTCATTCTTTCATATACTCGAGGTGGTATTGTCATCAATCACCAAAAAGGGAGAGATTGAAAGCATCTAGGCCCCTTTGTTGGGGTTCGGTGATTAATGACAATACAAGATTACTATGACTAACGTGTGTTTTGCAGAGGCAATTAAGTTAGGTCATGATAATGGAGATCGATTAGGCAATCAAGGTGGTCATGCCCCTACGATGGAAATCGTTTTGGTTTTCAAAGGATGGACGATAAGGTTAAGGATGACTTGTTCTAAGTGTCGATTGGAGTTGGAGTGAAACTTAGAGTAGTTTAGGACTTTATTTTTCCTTTGGCCGTACTATTAAGGGGGCCGATGTAGCTCGCTCTCAGGGTGCTTAGTGCCTAGTGGAAGACAAGCGCCTCCGTAAGTGCGTTATTTCGGACGGTTCTGCCACAGGTTCTACTATCTCGTTTTTTTCCTCCACAACTATGATAGCTTGATTTGGAACAAACGAGTTTTCATTTTTCCTTTTTATTTTTCATATTAACCTATTATTTTTTGTTCTATATACCACAAATAATTTCTGATTTAGAAGTTTAATCAAAATAAAATTATGTGAAAAATTTGTAGACAATAAAAACTTGTGTGTATAAGTTATGTTATTCATAAAATTTATTATATAAAAATTGTGTAAAAAATCATAGTAACTTTCGCCTAATATCTAGTTACAAACAAAAATTAGGTTACAAAGGCTATGTAGAAAAGTTGTCATGATAACTTGTCTATAAAATTATATAAAAAGCTACATTAGAAAGTTATTATAAAAACAAATATGGTGATAAGTTTTGTTTCGCAGAATGTTATACACAAAAGTTATTAGTATAACTTTGCAACTTTCAAAGAAATTATGCTGATAAGTTGTGTTCCACGAAATGTTATACCCAAAAGTTACGAGTACAAAACTTACATGTATCGGTTATGTTATTTGTAAAATTATTATAAAAAATATGCTAGAAAATTTATGTTAAAAATTATTATCATAAAATAATTTAGAAAAATCTTCGTGCTAAGTTGTCTATGAAATTACGAAAAAATTGTATCAAAAAGTTATGCTAAAAAATTGTGCTAATAAGTTCTGCTCTGCAAAATGTTATATTGAAAAAGTTATGAATATAAGTTGTGGTAATAAGTTAAACCAGTAAAATATTATGCATAAAAGCTATGTGTATAACTTAGTAACTTTCCAAAAATAGAAAGTTACAGAAATATTTTTTCTAGAAAAGGAAAGTTGCAGGGCTAGCTCATCGTTTGCTGGATTTAAATCCAATGAACGTTTGATTAGCCTGGCCCAACAAAGGGTTTGCTTCTATGGATTGTATGAACGTAAAAGACTTTTTAATGGAACTTAAATATATGTGTAAATGTGCATCTGTTTGTAATATTGAATATGCAATGTGCTCATGCACCGCCGCTCGCCACCGGCTCCGACCCCGATGGCTAGAATCGACCGACCCAGGCTTCCCCTTCTCTATGTTGCAAATGTATGTTTCAGGTGTTTCAGTCGTTTCAAAGGTATGTTGCGGTTGTTTCTTATGGATGTTGCAAAAGTAGGTCGGGGATGCTGCACATGTTGCATATGTTGCAAGTGTTTCGGAGGCATGTTGCAAGCATTTGTTCAAAATATTTCATCAGTTCCAGACTTATATTGCAAGTGTTTTGATCCGGATGTTTGCATATGTTGCAGTAACATATTTCATATGTTTCATCTATTTCAGATGTATGTTGCAAGTATTCTATCTGGATGTTGTATATGTTACAATGACTATCTTGCAAGTGTATGTTCTAAAGGTTTCATCTGTTTCAGTCATATGTTGCAATTGTTTCATCTGAGTGTTGCAAAAGTAGATCTCAATGTAGGGTTGTTTAGCAAGGAAGAGAGAGCTAGTGCGGGAGCCATGGCGACGTCGGCTGTAAGCTAGCGGTAGGGGTCCATCGGAGGACGCGCAGGCGTCCGTGCTAGCGCGTGCGGCTCGTTTCCCGTAAAACATGCTGCCTCCGCTGGCCCCGTCGAAGGTCCTGGAGTAGAAGCTTGTGGTATCTCCCGGTGCGACGGAGATGCAGACCCTAGCTATGGAGGTGACGCGGGCGCGACGAGGTTGAGATCCCCTGCAGGCGCGGCGAGCGAGTGGACTCCCCTGTTACGCGGGCGCGGTGGACGCTCTATTACACGGGGTATGAGACAGGGTGCGGCAGAGCTATGTCCGAACGTGGGCCTGGGGCCGGACGTCTGGTGCTAGTTATTCCCCAACTAGAAACAATACAGAAATCTCTCCAGTAGATCCGATTAAATCATCACAGCTGTGTTGATTGATCTCCTGCTTTATATTTACAAATGTAAATAAATCTAGTTTTTATAATTTATAGCAATATAAACCTGCAATTTACACGTGGCCTATAAGATTGTGCTTCTGTACAATGTGTTGTCATGGGCTCACAAATTGCCATGTATGTATGCCCTAGTTGCCATGAAACAGTCCTTGATCCTTATCTTAAAAAATAATGCAATGTTACTGATACTGTGGCCATGTTTAGATTGCAAATTTTTACAATCTGGACACTGTAGCACGTTTCGTTTGTATTTGACAAACTTTGTTCGATCATGGACTAACTAGGCTCAAAAGATTCGTCTCGTAATTTACAATCAAACTGTGCAATTAGTTATTTTTTTACCTACATTTAATGCTCCATACATGCGTCCAAAAATTAATGTGATGGAGAGAGAGTGAAAAAACTTAGAATTTTAAAGCAATCTAAACAAGGCCTGTATAACATTTGTTTACAATGTCGTGTTATAGCATATTATTTCGTCATCACAAAGTACATCAGTCCTTCCATGCATATTAATTCATCGCAAATTGCCATGCATGCCTGCAATTATGGGCCTGTTCGCTGGTCGGTGCTGGTGCTGGTTGAGGCTGACTGGTGTTGGTTTTTGTGAGAGAAAAACACTGTTGGCTGGCTGATTTAGGCTGGCTGAAACCAACAAGCGAACATGCTGTATATATGAGCCCAGCATGCATGAAAGATGCTTGCTTATCCCTCCATCTCATCCGCTTTTGGGTGTGTTGTCAGACTGCCTCCGTAAGCTCCGACACAGTGTGGAACTAAGAAGCATTATTGGTGCTGCCGGTGCCGCAGTGCCTGAGCTTTGATGGCGACCAGTGTGGCCTTGGCACATGCATGGTAGTGTAGCTAGGTTAGCGACGTGAAGAAGAAGGCAACAGCCAGCCACGTATATATAAATGAAATTAAATAAATTGAAATAAAACGTACCGTGTATATGTCGTGGTGCATGGCTCTGTCGATGGCCTCCGTCGACGCCTGCCGGAGGGCCTCCGTGACTTGGCATTTCACCCCTGCTCCTGCCTCGGCCTCCGCCTTGTCGTACATTGCCGACAGATCCAGCTTCACCTTGTGCCAGTACTCCACCGCTCCTCGATCCACTCAAGCTCCTTGCAGCTGCTCGTCGACGACGGTGGCCTTGCGACGGTCACGACGGACTCGCCGAGCGCCACCTGCTGCTGGTCGTCCCAGCTCTGCTTATAGCTGCCGCCCACCGCCAGCAGAGACACCGCGGGGTGCAGCGACCTGAGGTGGATGCGCACGTCGACGGCGACGATGGACGTGAGCTTGTCCGCGACCGCCATGGTGTCCACGTCTTGGGTGGTGATGGACATGTAGCTTCCAGAGGTCGCGTCGGCCACGGTTCGCAGTGCTTTGGCGCCGCTACTGTCTTCTTTTTCCGACACACCGAAGGCGTACGTGGATCGGGTACTTTAGTTTAAGTTGGCTCAGCTCCTCCTTCATGTCGTCGGGGTCTTTGAAATGGTCGTCCTTTGCATCGGAGAGGAAGATTATGAAGGCCAAACGGTCCTTGTCCGCTGCCTTACGCTCATCTAGGATCTGTACGTTGGCGTGAACAAACACCATATTTGTAAATTTTGTTCTAAATCTCAAGACTACCTGAAACCTAACTTGACCAAGTTTAATACCAAAAAACACTACTACTTTTGTTAAAATTCATGTAAACTTGGTCCATGTAGTTGCCTCTGAAAGCATCTAGGCTTCTTTTTTGGGTTTCGGTGATTAATGACAATACAAGATTACTATAACTAACGTGTGTTTTGCAGAGGCAATTAAGTTAGGTCATGGTAATGGAGATCGATTGGGCAATCGAGGTGGTCATGCCCCTATGATGGAAATCGTTTCGGTTTTCAAAGGATGGACGACAAGGTCAAGGATGACTTGTTCTAAGTGTCGATTGGAGTTGGAGTGACTCTTAGAGTAGTTTAGGACTTTGTTTTTTCTTTGACCGTACTATTAAGGGGGGTATGGACGGGCAGCTTGACCTAGATGAGTCTAGTGAGTTAGGTATGGTGCACACTTGTTTAAACTAGCGCTATGTAGCTCCTACATATGCCTAAGTTCCAATGGAGCAAACTACATTCACACATGATAGAGAGTTGAAGGTGAATGGAGGGTCAAATACTGACTGGACGCTGGCTCCTGTGCGACCGGACGCTGGCCGCAGGGTCCGGTCAGTTTATTTGATCAAGAGATTGCGTTCGGTGCGACCGGACGCTGGAGTGGTCAAGTGACCGGACGCTGAGAGGCAGCGTCCGGTCGACTCCAGTAAAGTTCCAGAGAAGTGAATCTGCGACCGGACGCGTCCGGTCAGTGCTGACCGGACCCTGGGGGTTCATCGTCCAGTCGAGTACAGTAAGGTTCCAGTAAGGGTTTAATGCGACCGGACGCGTCCGGTCAGTGGTGACCGGACCCTGTCAGCGGTGACCGGACCCTGTCAGCGTCTGGTCAACACATTATCACTGGTTTGCGAGTTGAACTAACCGGAGCGTCCGGTCAGAATGACCGGAGCGTCCGGTCACCCCGCAGAGGCACATAACGGTTCGTTTTTTAGGCTGCCTTATAAATAGAAGCTCCACTCGTGTGTGGAGTGACTTTTGCTTATTCCAACAGCTGAGAAACACGTTTGTGAGTGCCAAGAAGAGCAAGGTCCTAGTGAGGTGTTTATGATTTGAGAATCGAAGAGAGTAACCTCATTAGTGAAACAAGAGTAGCAAAGTGTGCATCCACCGTTCTCATTAGGCTTCGCGTGGTCAAGTGAGAGTTCTTGCTTGTTACTCTTGGTGATCGCCATCACCTAGACGGCTTGGTGGTGATTGGGAGCTTGGTGTTCACCCGGCGGAGCTTGTGGGTGACCCAACTCAAGTTGTGAGCGGCTTTGGGTGATTCGCCGCGACGGAGTGTCGAAGAATCAACCCGTAGAGAGCACTTGATCCTTGCGCGGATCAAGGGGGAGCTACACCCTTGCGCGGGTGCTCCAACGAGGCCTAGTGGGGAGTGGCGACTCTCCGATACCTCGTCAAAACATCGCCGCGTCTCTCTCTCTCTCTCTCTATTTACTTTGAGCATTTACTTTGAGCATTTACTTTGAGCAATTCAATACTTGTCTTTACATTCATAGAATTGCCATGCTAGAGTAAGTTTGGAATATAGGTTGCTAGTCCGTTGTGCGTTAGTTTATTAGAAACACTTTTCTAGGCACAAGGGGTAATTGGGCTAACCGTAGGATTTAATTATTGCAAGAAAATTTAGAATTAGCCCAATTCACCCCTCCTCTTGGGCATCTTGATCCTTTCAATTGGTATCAGAGCCTCGTGCTCATGTTTTTAAGCTTAATCGCTTAGAGCAAGATGTCTCACGGGGATGGACCTCCTCCTATCTTCGAGGGAGATGATTTTTCATATTGAAAAATTCACATGGAGGCGTACCTAGAAGCTCTAGACGTTGGAATACTTAGAGCCGCCTCTTATGGGTTCCCAAGACCTAGGAATCCCGCACAACTTCAAGGCGATGAAGTGAACTATGAAAAATGGAATGTAAAGGCTCGCAACACCATCTTTAGAGGCCTTTGCAAAGATGTGTTCAACCGCGTAAGGAACCACAAAGACGCCCATGCACTATGGTCGGACGTTTGTGCGCTCCATGAGGGAACCAAGAGTGAGCGTGAGGAACGCTATCTTCTTGTGATTAAAAAGCTAAATTCATTTGAGATGCTTTCCAAAGAATGTGCTAATAAAATGTATTCACGTTTGAATGTTCTTGTAGAGGAAGTCAATGGGCTTGGACTTACTCAAATGTCACCATCCGACGTTGTGAGAAAGATCTTGAGTGTCCTCCCCATTGACAAATATGGGCATATTGTGACCGTGCTACACCAAGGTGATCTTTCCACCGCTACACCGACACAAATCTTGGGAAAGATCAATGCTCATGAGATGTACATGCACATCACGCCACAAGATGGCTCATCCTCCAATAAGAAGAAAGACAAAGACTTAGCATTCAAAGCTAGCCAAGAGAAGGGCAAGGCAAGACTTGAGTATGAAAGCTCAAGTGAAGATGAAGTTGATGAAGAAAGTCTTGCTCTCATGACGAAGAAGACCGCCAAGATGCTAAAGAAGCTAAACAAGAGTGGCATCAAGTTTGACGGCAAGAAGAAGAAGTTCTTCACTAGCTCAAGAAGAAAGCCAATCTCCGAGATGGATTGCTACAATTGTGGCGAACTTGGCCATCTAGCTCATCAATGCACAAAGCCCAAGAAAGACAAGTTCAAGAACAAGAACAAGGGCAAGAAAGATGACTCAAGCAATGAAGATGAAGATGAGAAGAAAAAGAACAAGCTATACAAGAAGAGAGATAGCAAAAGAGGGACTTCTACAAGAAGAAGAAGAGTGGAAAGGCCTACATTGTCGGTGATTGGCTCATGGACATTGATTCATCAAGTGGATCATTCGATGATGATAGTGACAATGAGAAGGTAGCCGCCATTGCTATTGATCTTGCATCTTCACCGCCATCATCGCCATCATCCTCTACACACATATGTCTTATGGCCAAGGGTGAACGCAAGGTAACTAAGAATGATGATAGTAGTGATGATGAGCAAGCTAGTGATGATGATAGCGATAGCGATGATGATGATTCACCTACATATGATGATATTGTCAAAATACTAAGAAAATACACTAAGATCATTAGAAAGAGTAGAGCTACAAATGAAAAGCTTGATGCTAAAAATGATTCACTCTTAGCTAAGTGCGATACATTGGTAAAGGCTAATGATGAGCTTAGAGAAACTAATGATGCTATATCATCCAAACTCAAGGAGCTAAAATCTTCTAAGAAAGAGCTTAAAAATAAACATGATAAACTTGAGTGGGTGCACAATGAGCTCATCACTAGTCACAACAAGCTAAAAGATGAGTATACAACTCTTAAGATCAATCATGATACTCTTGTCATTGCTCAAGAATTCCTACCAAATGAGCCACATGATGCTACTAACCATGTTGTTAAGATTGATATAGCTACATCATGTGATGATTTGATTGATGAGAGCATTGAGCAAGGATCTAGTGGCAAAGGCAAGCAAGTGGTTGAGTGCAATGACTATGATGAATATGTCAAGCTCAAGAATGCAAATGAAAAGCTCATGAAAGATCTTGAAGAGATAAAGAGCCACAACACTATTGTGCTAGAAACCCTTGATCATGATGAAGAGTTGATTCTTGAAAATGAGAAGCTCAAAGAAGAGAACAAGAGGGTAAAGGAAGAGAAGAACAATGATGTTCTCAAGGAAGAGAACAAAAAGCTTAAGATGGAGAAAGAACATCTCAAGGTTGGATTGAGCAAGTTTGCAAGAGGCAAGCATCTTCAAAGTGAGCTTCTAATAAACACCGTCATGAAGATGGATAGAAGTGGCATTGGATATGTGGCACATGTAGAGAAGAAGAAGGCTCAAGTTCAACAACAACAATCAAAGCCAAAGCCAAAGAGATGCTTTGAGTGTGGACTAGAAGGTCACTTTGCTCATGAATGCCAAACTCCACCGCCACAACCCTTGCCCAAGCATGCTAGACCCTTTGCCTTCAATGCTCACTACATGCTTAGAAATGATTCTAATGGAAAGATGAAAGTCATGTTCTTAGGACCCCATAACAAGAATAGACCTAAGAAGATTTAGGTGGCTAAGTCACTTGTTGAGAAGGTGAAGGGCCCTCAACAAGTTTGGGTTCCTAAAGCTTGTGTGTAGGTGAAATACAAGACCGGTGGAAGTTATTGGGTTATTGATCGTGGTTGCACTCAACATATGACCGGTGATCCTCGTATGTTCACCTCACTAGATGAAGAGGTAGATGGACAAGAGAAAATTATATTTAGAGATAACTCCAAGGGCAAGGTTAAAGGATTGGGCAAAGTGGCAATATCAAATGATCATTCCATCTCCAATGTGCTCTATGTTGCTTCTTTGAGCTTTAATTTGCTATCCGTTGGACAATTGTGTGATCTTGGTTTCCAATGCTTATTCACCGAGAAGGAGGTTGTTGTATCCAAGGTAGATGACAATCAAGTGATATTCAATGGATTTAGATACAACAACTTATATCTAGTGGACTTCACCTCCGAAGATGCAAATTTGAAGACTTGTCTATTTACCAAAACAGCACTTGGGTGGCTATGGCATAGAAGACTTGCTCATGTCGGGATGAGCTCACTCAAGAAGCTTATGAAGAATGATTTGGTGAGAGAGTTGAAGGATGTGAAGTTTGAAAAGGACAAGCTTTGTAGTGCATGTCAAGCCGGCAAGCAAGTTGCAAATACTCATCCAACCAAAGCTTTCATGTCAACCACAAGAGTGCTAGAACTCCTTCACATGGATTTATTTGGACCAACAACATACAAGAGTTTGGGAGGGAATCTCTATTGTCTTGTGATTGTTGATGACTATTCAAGGTATACATGAGTATTCTTTCTTCATGACAAATCCAAAGTTGCATCTTGCTTCAAGAAGTTTGCCAAGAGAGCTCAAAATGAATTTGAAGTGAAGCTCAAGAAGATAAGAAGTGACAACGAAAAAGAATTTGACAACACAAACATTGAAGCTTATTGTGATGAAGTTGGGATCAAGCATGAAATCTCCACAACTTATACTCCTCAACAAAATGGTGTAGTTGAGAGGAAGAACTAGACTTTGATCACTCTTGTAAGGACAATGCTAGATGAGTACAACACACCCGAAGCTCTATGGGCGGAAGCAATCAACACCGCATGTTATGCATCCAACCGCCTATTCCTTCAAAAGTTCCTTGGCAAGACACCTTATGAGTTGCTCAATGGGAAGAAGCCGGACGTCTCCTTCTTTAGGGTGTTTGGTTGCAAATACTACATCTACAAGAAGCGGCAACACCTAGGGAAGTTACAAAGACGTTGTGATATTGGTTTTCTTGTTGGTTACTCATCAAAGTCCAAAGCATATAGTGTAACACCACAGGTGTTTATCACTAGTTAAGCTATGGGTTTGAGCTCAAACATGACAGATTAAGTGACGATGAAGATGTCAAGGTCAAATCTATGGAAATGAGCCCCAACCTAAACTCGGATATTGCACCCTTGCTTTACATATAGGCCCTTTTCAAGATATATGCTTGGCTGGTGTTATTGGAATATCTTCATGTGTCTCACATCAATACCCATCTATATGGGTCACTGGGAAAAGTTTCATGAAGTTTGGAATCAAAAAGTCACATGAAATGATAAGTTATATCCTTATTGGAATGACTTTACTAAGTGCTTGAATTGCACTATTAAGTGAATGGAAATGTAGGTCATCAACCAAACCTTGCAACCTTGCCCAAATGACTCTAAGTGAACTCTACAACAAAAGTCATGAAAGGTTCATGTTGGGCAAATGTCAAGAAAATGCATCAATCGGTCTAAAACTCAGATTTAAGCTTTACCGCGATGCTACTTTGACCTGTGTTGACCAATTACTTACAGTGCTTGCATGGAGTTGCACCCTAAATAAAAGTTGAAGTCCATGTTATGTACAACAAACTTTATTTTTGGACCAAGAGCTAGATCAGCTTGTAAGCAAGTCAAAACGAGCCCTCAAGTTGGAATCTTTGGCTGTTTTGCACGGGTGCTCCAACGAGGACTAGTGGGGAGTGGCGCTCTCCGATACCTCGGCAAAACATCGCCGCGTTCCTCTCTCTCTCTATTTACTTTGAGCATTTACTTTGAGCAATTCAATACTTATCTTTACATTCATAGAATTGTCATGCTAGAGTAAGTTTGGAACATAGGTTGCTAGTCCGTGGTGCGTTAGTTTATTAGAAACACTTTTCTAGGCACAAGGGGTAATTGGGCTAACCGTAGGATTTAATTATTGCAAGAAAATTTAGAATTAGCCCAATTCACCCTCCTCTTGGGCATCTTGATCCTTTCAGCCTCTAAAAATTTTTGTTCTAATTCAAGTTTACCTTTGCGGCTATTTTCAAGGGCATGAAATAGTCCGCCTGACCCCCTGGTTTGAGCGCATCCACCACATTTTTGACTTTTTGCTGGCCTTCCTTGTCCATCTCCGTAAGTGGTGTGACATCTTTCACCACATCTCTGAACGGCACCACGGCGAGGCGGTTTCGGGCGCCACCGCCCAGAGTCTGGATGGCTTTCGCCATGGCTTCCTTCACCCGTTCCAACCTCTGGTTCTCCATGGTGGTGCCGTTGCCGTAGTCCCAGGCCATGCTGCCGCTGACGTCGAGCACCGCCACGACATCGACGGGGACGCGCTCATGGAGCGTCGTCATCTCCGCCGGCGCCTTCACGCGCACGGTCACCGGAAGGTCGGTGTAGCTCTTCTCCCTAGGGATGGACATCACCTTTGTGAAGGTGCTCAGCTGCAGGGCTGATGGCTTGGACTTCACAGAACATGCATGCATCCATGGAGATCATATATACAATATAACCTAAGTGATCTCAAATTTGTGTAGTAAAGAATTTGGACGCGTAGATGGAATTGAACATCCATCCATGATCCATGTATAAAACAACCTCACCTGTGCTGCCATCTCTGCAACTGGCTTCGGTATTAGCTAGCTGGGATCGATCCAGTATAGCCTCCTCGATCGAACGAATTCTTGGGTTTCTCTCTTCTCTGTGCTCAATGCATGGTACATGATTTCTCAATGCAAGGATTGGAAATAACATATATAGACGCATTGGGTGGACGATGTTCGATGGATGGTCATCGTCGTAGGACCACCGTTGTGTTGATGCAGATATGCCATCTAATCCAGCGCTGTCATCATCAGATATGCTTTTTTCTAGAACGTGACTTCATGTGTATTTTATTAAGGAGGAGAATCCAAAAAGGTAATACAAAGACGTCCAAAGGCGAGATGCCTGGACCAGCGACAACCAACCTGCACTACTCTCAAAGGACTACATGGGGAACAAATTTTATGACAAGAGAATGGGGAGGAGGGATACTATGGTGTAGTCGCAGCCACCACAAACACCGAGAGCGTCGTGAAGCCAGCCGCAACCCACTGGTCACCCTCCTCAAGCACCCCCCGTGCTGCCTGAACCACCGAGCTATGTGCGTTCTCGAAGAGGCGGGAGTTACGCTCCTTCCAAAGGCACCAAGAGAGAAGGAGAACCACCGCGTGGAACCCCTTGCGCATCGGTCTCAGCACAAGACATCTCGCATCCATCCACCAAGCAGAGATCACAGCCCATGGCTGTGGTGTGATCCTTTCCCAACCATTGGGATGTAGGAAACGGTACTAGATCTCCCTAGCGATGACAAAAGAAATAAGGAGGTGGTCGACCATTTCATCTTCCTGACCGCAGAGGGCGCATTCGGCCGAGTCCTGAAGTCCATGCCTCATTTGCGTTCCGCCGTCCAGATACGGCCATGCAGGGCCAGCCAGAAGAAGAGCTTGACCTTCGGTGGCGCCGAGGCCTTCCAGAGCTGCTTGGCCCCCAACATAGATGACATACCGAGGAAGAAAGAGAGGAAGGCTAAGGATGCCGAGTAGGAGCCGTCGGGCATCCAACGCCAGACGAATCGATCACTCACCAGCGACCCAAGATGGACCTCCTCAAGCTTCACCCAGAGTTTGACATAGTCGCACAAACTGGCGTAGTATGCGCCTTGGTGATATGGCGCACCCAACGATGTCCAGAGAGCGCCTCCTTGATGGACACCTCGAGGAAACGGCGACCGGTCGCTCGGAACAAGTGAGGCGCGAAGGACGCAATCGGTTCGTTCGGTAGCCAAGAGTCGGACCAAAACCGTGCAGAGACCCCATCGCCGAGCTCCACCACAACGGAGCAACTAAACATGGCGCTTACCAGTTTCTCCAGCTTGGAGGGAAGCTTTGTCTAAGCTGGCGCATCGGCAACCCTCTTTTGCCATTCCCAACATAGGCAGAGTGCAAACCTGAGGATCCTGATGTCCGGCATTCCCAAACCACCATAGCATTTCAGGGAGCACACAATCAGCCAAGCCACCTTGCACTTCCCCCTGGCTGCGGTTGTTGTTCCACACCATAGAAAAGCTCGACGGCTCCTGTCGATATGCTTGATCGCCCAAGCCGAAAGACAGCACGTGATGGAGACATGGACCGGGATAGCCGACAGCATTGCACGAGCGAGAGTGAGCCTACCCGCCGTGTTGAGCAGCCCTGCCTTCTAGGTTGGGATGCGCCCAGCGATGGCATCCACAGCTGTTGCTCCTTGGAGCGCTGTAGTCTGACCATAGAAAGTGGAGCTCTCGAGTAGCGACATGGGAAGGGCGAGACCACACAAATAGTGTTTGTGGTGTGACCACCACCGTGTACCGGAGGGAACAAGGCCCGTGGCATTTCGGCTGAAAGCTTGATAGTGAAGACGGCGGGGAGCGGTCTGGGAGAGGCTTGCCGAAAGGCACACCGGAGACCCACTTGCGCATGGGGAAGGCCCAGGGCTATCCACGGAGTTACCTGACCGGGAGCTTGGCCCTTGCGAGGGATTCCTTGCGAGGGGCTCCAACGAAGACTAGGGGAAGCTTGCGCGCTTATCGATACCTCGGTAAAAATACTAGAGTCGTCGATGGGAGTTTGCACATCTCTACCTTACTCTTTAGCTTCTGCATTTACATTATTTGCATAACTCCTTTTGCGGTAGAGATAGCAACACACTAGAAAAACCGTAGTTGAACATTTAGATAGTTTATCTTTTGCATAGGTTTTGCTAAGAATACAAAAAGAGGCCATAGTTTTGAGTTAGAGTTTTAAGTTTCCTAATTCATCCCCCCTCTTAGGCGTCATGGTCCCCTTTTAGTGACCATTGATCTGGTCTACCTGGGTTTGTGTTAGGAATAAACTCCCAGCTGGTTGAAATCAATTCGAATCACCGTCTATCCCGGACAGTGAGAAACTTGGCTAGTCCCAACATCGTAGTAACTGTGTTATGAAATGATGGTTATGATGAACATGGAATTACTACACCGGCTATGGTTACTATGGTATGCTACTAAATGACATACCACATGTTTGGCATAGGTTAGTTGCTAATCTAGAGATGAATAGCGATAATTAACTTGATGATCGAATTATAATTGTGCAACTGAATTAGTCAATTTTTATGCAAAATGTTATCAAGCTAACTCTACTTATAAAGCCTTGCATAATTCTTGGAGTCACTTTATTTTTGGTTTACGACGGGTAAGTCTAGCTGAGTACCTTCTCGTACTGAGGGTTTTATTCCCATTGTTGCAGATGGTACAGCTTATCACGGCTATTGCAAAAACTGCTTCTATCCCACCATAGACGAGGAATGAGCCCTAGGCAGGCATCTCTTATTAATCCTTCTTACATGCTTTTGTAGAAGTGTGATCGTGGGCTGACACTATGTTTAAACAATGATGGCAGATGTTAGTTTCAAACTTTAATTTACTTCCGCTACTATTTTACTAAACTTGGTTTGTAATAACCTAAATTCGTACTCTGATGAATGAACTGTAATTGTGAACCTTATGTAACGTGTGACATGTATGTTGAATTATGTACGATCTTGGTTGTTGATGGTTAATCGAGATCCTTCGTTGTACTCGATGGACTACCGGGTTTATATGGGCTCAAGTATGACAGTGCGACTGCTTGCGGGCTGCCATTGTACTTGTGCTCTTATAAATTGGTCAGTTCTGCTACAGCAGTGTCATCACTAAGTCATCAGCGGCAACAATGATGGACTGCTCTAACAGAGAAAGTGGGATGGACTGCTCGATTAGCATTGGGTCCATATCCTTGCTCATGTCCATCTCATAGCGACTGATGTGACCCACCAGGGGGTTAGAGCTGACCACACCCACCTTTTCTCATGTCTCGATGAGCCCCGTACCCATCGCGCCATAGAACCCAGCACGCGCGGCACTACTCCCCAGGAGTGGGCAAACCAACGAGCCTACGACCAATGACCTCAACGCCATGCCAGTGGGCCCACCATCCGGCCCCATAGACGATTCATCTTCCCTGACTCTGGTCAAGAAAATGAGGCCGGAGTCATGCGTTGATTGCGGTGACTTGCCACCACAGCAGCGATCAATCCCTAGGTGGTAGCGATTGAAATTGTTGTCGCCCGAGGCATCATCATCGTCATCACGACTGCCATAGCCCTCGTCGTTCGAACATTGTCCCCGCGAAGGGTCACCATGGCCATTGCGTGGCCATCGTCGAAACCATGGGGAAAATGACTGGAGTCGCCAGGACCATCATCATCATCCGCGCCATCGCCAGGACCTTCCCCACCTGGGGAAGCCGGCTGCGTGTTCTAGTCCTGATATGCCACCAAGCAGAGGCACACTAGGTAGCACAGGCCCAGTGTTGACCATTGTTAACATCAATTATAAACCATCAACATAACCTGCATATATACCTAATTCCATCACCAAACATAGTTATAGGGTTTGATTCTAACAAGTTCTATGAGTTTTGGCGCTCTCACTTGTCTCGCAGGATATTTAATTTTTCATAGAACAAAATTATCTCAAATGGTGAACTGGAGTGCACCATTGCGAAGAGCTCATCGAGCTGATTGAAACGGATATATTATTTGCTATACTTGGAGCTCGGAATGAAAAGATATAAATTTCGCAAATAAAAGAAAAACTCCACATCATGAGGTGTGGGATTAATTGGGCCCAATTCAGAATTTGACCCATAAAGGCCATGTGCATTTTAACGAGATATGGTGCAAAGTTTAGTACCAATGAGGCTAACTAAGAGGGGAGGATGTTAGGCGCCCCCATATATAGCAGCCCCTATCCCCCTCCCTGGAGCATCCTGAAACCCTAGCTTAAGATCATCTAGTGGAGCTCTTTAGTGTAGCAAGTGTGAGAGCTCTTAGTGAGTAGTGACTTAGCCATTTGTGTGCCTAGTGATTATAGTAACTAGAATAATGGGTAGGTGGCTTGCAACCCTTGTAGAGCTAGAGCAAATTTGCATTTTGCTATTTGTCATATTAATCAAATTGCTCTAGTGATTTTGTAGATTTTTAAATAGGCTATTCACCCCCCCTCTAGCCATATTAGGACCTTTCACCCCTGTGGCTCTTATCGATAGTGTGGATCTTCGCAACCATCTCCTCTTGTGTTCGAGTCGTTCGCTTTGAAGTCGCCCAGGTTGACCCCCTCTGTGGGGAGACATCTTGCCTTCTGGCCACTACAGAGGCAGTTGGGGACCGATGGGCTTGACGGCCAATGATTTATAGGACGTCTCTCGACGAGGCACAGTTGAACTCCACATCAATTAGGGAGGATATCGGGTCCCACTCGAATTCCCATTGACCTTGATGAGGCGCACCACTCCAACCACATGGTTACGGTGGACGAGCCTCTCCTCGTGTGCGGCGAAATCAAAGGTGCCAATAACTAGGCATCATGACCTCTCGGGGTCAAAAAGGACGTCAGGGAGAAAGGAGATGGGTCCATGTGACCCCGCTATGGGATGTGGCCAAGCCATGACCAACTCCTCCTCGTGTCTCGGGTCATTGACCCATTGCCGCCCTGGCATCTCGCGGACCAGTA